CCTTATCTGCTCTGATGGACACAGTTCAGAGCTGTCAGGGGGATGAAGAAGTGGAGCGAGCACCAAACACACAGTGAGTGCCCAGGACTGGAGGCCTCTGCTGAGTCCTCATCATCATCAATGAGATCATCAATCATCATCATCAAAGAGCCTGCTTTTCCTAAGAACATTTGATAGAATGTTCCTTTGATATATATCCTTTCCAGTTTTAAGGATATAGATGGATATACATATAAACATAGTAGTATGTTTTAAATGTAATGAATAAAAAGTAGATTATTAAAGAATATCTACAAGATACTGCAGATTTCTTTAATGTCCCGATGTAAGCTGAATCCAATGCTGTCACTTTCCAATGTTGTAAGAAATAAATATTTTCCAGTGAGAAGATAAAAATTGGGGGTTTGTCTCAATGATAGAAACTTTAAGGGAAATCAAATATATTCAGTAATTTTGATGTGATTAAATATTTACATTATATATCATGAGAGTAATATATAAGCAGAATTGTTTTCCACATTCACATTTGGTTAACAATTCCTTTTACTTAAATTCTTTATAGGTATCTCTGCTGTCAGTGTGTTTTGCTCATTTCTGAGGTGATTTTTAAATCTTCTACCCTAGTTTTCCATGTCCAATCATCTTTACTTGCATCTATGTGGTATGAGAGACAGGACTTTTTGAAGAAAAGAGTTACTGAGGCCACAAATGGCCATTTACCTCATCCAAAGCAGTGTTCAGTGTTTTAAAGTTCTAAACACAAAAGCTCCCAAGATGGTGTCTTCCTTCCATTGAGGGCCTGGAGCACATAGCAGTCAGAATATAGGCCAGGATCCAACTCACAGCAGAAGACACAACAGGAGATGTTCACCGGAGCTGCCCAGATGTGCCAGCACAGCACCAGACAAGTAACACTCAAAACAGCAGCTGCCGCAGCCAAACGATCCGACAAACGGCCACACTCACACAGTTCAGCGAGTAGCCCAGCTCCAGGTCTTCGCCTTTCCTTCCATGCTGCAAACCTGGGGACTGTTTCAGTTGCTCAGCTACCTGCAAAGCCTCTGAAACCTTCCTCTCTGAGGTTAGCTGTTGGAAGCCTCCTCATATCGTTCAAAGACACACAACAGTCTTCTGGAAGATCACCACGGTGGGGGGCAGAAATGGCTGACCACGGATTCTCTAAATATCTAAAAAGGCTGAAATCCCAAATGCTGAATCCCTTATATTTCTTATCATAGTCTCCACCCCCACCAATACTTTGTATTTCACCTGAGGCTATCCATCTTCACCAGCACCCCCCCCCCACACCCCAAGGTGTGCCACCTGTAATAGTCTTTGGCTTCAGCCATTGGTTACAGTCTCACTTAAACCAATCATTGACAAATGGAACTGGAACTCTGTGATTGGCTTAAACCAATCAGGACCTGTCCAGAATGAGAAGGGAGTACCTCTTCCCAGGACTGTGAACAGATACCTGAACAATTTCAGTTTCATTAGGAGGTGGAGAAGGGGAATGAATATTGATGTGACAACAGTATTAGTGGGAACTCTCTAGTAAAACAGAAACAACATGGTATACATTTACATATCTATATCAACAGATGTAGAGAATTATTTTAGAGAATTGGCTCTAGCAATCATGAAAACCGAGGAGTCTCAAGACCTGTGGTCAGCAAACTGAAAGCCTAAGAAAGCTAATGGTTTATTTCCAGTCCACATCTAAGGTCTGAGATGCAAGAAAAGCTGAGATTTCCATTTGAGTGCAAAGTACAGAAAAGGCTGATGTCCCAACCCAGCAGCCAAGCAGGAAGAGTTTTCTCCTACTCAGCCTTCTTCGTTCTATTCAGGTTATTAATCGATTGGATAAGGCCCATCCACATTAGGGAGGACAATTAACTTTATTCAAAAGTTAATCGAATCCAGTGTCATCAGAACATTCCCAGAATGTCATTAGAACATGCCCAGAACAATACTTTACCAAATGTCTGGGCACCAAGACCCAGTCAAGTGGACACATACAATTAACCACCCCAGCAGTATACAGCATCTGCTGTCCAGGACACACAACACAATGCAATCTAAGACTTCTCCCTTAAGTTGGTTAAGAGTGCCTTGGCTAAGAGAGTTGGAGCCAGCTCGCTTACATTCTAGCCACACATCTTTGGTTAAGCAATTTAACTTCTCTGGGTCTCTAATAGAAAAGGCAGATGACAGGAGGAAGCTACTTCATGAAGTTATTTAGTGAATTAAATGTTTGTGGGAAGTTCAAGACACAGTACCAAACACATCAAGTGCTCAACAAATTGCAGCCATTATTACCATTATAATTATAGTATGGATCGTGAGGTTATGCATCGTGCCTCTTAGTGTATTACCTCTCAGCATTAAATCCTTTCTTCAATGCTTGCCCCTCCATAATATTATTATAGGCAGGATTTTATTATATAAGCTTTTCTCATTTATGCTGAACACTGAGCACAATGGTGACTTTTCTCAGTAGAGGGCATTGAAGGGACAGTGCAGGAGAAAGCTTTTTCTTACTGATGTTAGCTGCTGCACCTGAGGTCAGTGGTGTGGGCATAAGGTGTAGTCTGGGTAGCATGGGTCAGGTGGTGGAACTCTCAGATCCTGGGGAAGACTTTGGAACGAAGTTTTCCCCACTGTGGGGGGATTCTCAGAGGAGTCCAATTCAGTTCCAAGCAGATTGTAGGTGATGGCGCCCCTAGTGGCGAGTGTTCCAACTACAACATGGAGCCAAGCTCCCACTAGAAAGAGACTTCAGATTCCATTCATGCCCCATTTCCTATAGCTATTAAACTAAACACCACAAACCTTTACCTTGGAATAAAAGCTCGAGGTTTTAAGGAAGCACAAGACATCTTCTCAGTCTCATTGTTTGTCAGGGAAAGTAAAAACGTTGGTCAGTAAATGGTTTCCTAGAGTGAGACTTAGGTATCCTACTTTTCTAAAGCACTCCAGTTAACTTTGGGGTGCAGCCAAGGGGGGGAACCACAGATGACGGCTTGGGCCCTGCATTCTCACCACCCACTCACTTGCTGTGTGAACTTGGACAAAACCCTTTCTAGTCTTGACTTTCTTACTATGATATAAAATCATAGGGTAATAGAGGGGAGGTCAGTAAGATGATGCAAGCAAAGCCCAAAGTCCTGAGCACTCTGCCTGGCATATAAAAGTCCTATATAAATATGTGTATATCCACGTATTTATGTGTAAATATATGTGTACATATATGTGCACACACCTATATAATATTGCTATTAGCCATTTTGCATTCTCTGAGAAACTAGGGTGGGTAGTGGGCTATGACTGAAAATTTCCTCTCTCAACAAGGGCAGGTGTGTGTGCAGGCGGGGTATATCAGAAGGTCCCCTCCCTGGAATGGGAACCTCAGACAGATGGCCTCCTTTCACCTAAGCAGTGGTGTCCGAAAAGCACTCTTTGCAGGTTATTGTTCTCAAGAAGTCTCCCCTTCCAGACTTCTGGAGTTACTATGGTTTCACCCCATTTTCCAGTTTCCCAGGCTCCATGAACTTTGGGAATGCCCATTATCCTTCTAGTTTATTCCCTTAGCCTATCTTGGCCAAAGTTGGCTTCTATAGCTTATGACTAAAGATCCCTGATACTGACAAATGGAAAACGGGGCACAGGATCCACCACCGCAAGGACAGCACGCAGTCTGAGCTGTCCCCTAGTGCTTCTGAAAGCAGGACTAAATAGTGGGGAACCATTGCGGACAGATGTAAATCCTTAACATGACCTCAAGGTCATACAGTATCCTGGAACATGACTCGGGCTTCTTGCTCATGCCACCCCAGCCCCGCAGGCCTCCTTGCTGTTTGTCACACTCATGGGCACTCTCCCACTTCAGGACCTTTGCATTTGCTGTTTCCTTTGCCTGGAACGTCCTTTTCCCAGAAATCCCCATATCCTACTTCTTTTCCTCTTTGCTCAAATGTTATCTTGCCTGTGGGGCCTACTTCATACACCCTACTTCAAAATACAAACTCTACCTAGTCTGGGCACCCCCTGTCTCCTTTGCCTACTTAATTTTTCTCCATAAACTTCCAACTTACTATACGATCTGCTTATTTATTTTGTTGCAACCCTCCTAAGTTTCACCAGGGTGGGCCTTTTGGCCTGTTTCACTCACTTCAGTAACCCTAGCACAGTAACCTGGCTCATAGTAGGTGTTCAATTAATATTTGTTGACCTGTGTTGCAATCTAAGTGGACTTCTTGGTGGAGCAAACCTTGGTCCCACAAGCGCACGGCCTGCCTAGCCCTGCAGCTCTTGGCTGACAGGTGCTCCCATTTCCAGGCAAGCTCCTGGAAGAACCCCACTTTCCCAACGACTGCATGTGGGGGGAGGATCCACTTACATTCTGGTCTCTCCTGGCCTGCAAGGCAGTCTTGGAAGCCTCTTTAATAATGGTGATAACGACGGTGGCAGTGACAGCAGCAGCCACAGGAGAAGCAGCAGCAGCCGGCTTTCAGGGAAGCTACCCCGGGTCTGTGCTAAGTGCTTACGTTCAACCTCTAAGTCTCCTCACATTCCTAAGAAGGTGATCCCATTATACCCATTTGACAGACAAGAAAACTGGCATTCGGAGGGTGTCAGTCGCAGCATCATCACCTTCTGCCATCAGGTTCTGGGGTCTGGCACCCACAGAATTGCACACTCACGCTGTCCTTCCTGCCCCATATAGGGGGGCGGGAGGGTGGACAGGCGACCCTGGGCCAGGAGCAGGGGCGTCTTCGGAGGTCGGGGTGCGCCTGTGCGGAGGCGCAGGTGTGCGTCGCGCGGGAGGAGCCTCCCGCGGAACCTGGGGGGCCGGGGGCGGGGCGGCCGGGGGCGGGCCCTGACGTCACGCGCCCCGCGGTCCGCCCCCCGCGCTCGCCCCGCCCCGCCCCGCCCCGCCCGGCCGCGGAGCTGCAGCCGCCCGGCCGAGCCCCGAGGAGCCGCAGCCGCCCGCGCGCGGAACGCAGCGCCCAGCTATGGCTTCGGGCCCCGCGGGTAAGGGGCGCGGGGCGCGGGGGAGGCAGGGGGCAGTCCGGGGGCGCCCCCACCCCTGGGCTGACCGGCCGCCCTCCCGTCTTGTCCCACAGAGGCGGAGACCCGGCAGAGGCTGCTGCGCACGGTCAAGAAGGAGGTAGGTGCCCGGGCTGGGGCGGGGGGCGCCGACCCCGGGGGACGAGGCCGCTGTCACCGCTCGGGAAAGCGTCTCCGAAGCCGGGGTGGCCCTGGCGGCCGGGAGCGGCCACCCCAGCTATGCGGCTCACCTGGGTGGGTATTTACCTTCCAGGGCTGGAGGCTGGTGATCGGGGTGGGGGGTGGGGCGCTCGGGGATGAAGGGGTCTGGATGTTTTCTGCCTGGTGCAGAGCGGGGCCCGTGCTGAGAGGACCCTCCAGGTGTGGGGCACACCTCGGTGTGTCTAGGTGGGACTCCCTCTTGTGGAGGAGCAGGAGGGTCGTCTTAGGAAGGGGTCTTCAAGGTGAGACAGTGGGGGTCTGCGGTGCTGGGGGTGCGAGGCGCTGCTGGAGTCTGGAGAAGGAGGACCAGACTTCAAGAAAGGGAAACCCCCAAATTCTTGGTCTTTGGAGGCACCCCGGGGAACTCCCTCCTTCTGAGTCTGGAGTCAGCCAGCTGCTCCCCTGTAGGCCTGATCCTGTGCTCTCCTGTCCCCTCACATCACCCCACACCAGTCCCCAATTACAGGAGAGTGAGCGTCAGACAGGGTTCAGCTGCCCCTTCACTTCACTGCCCCAGAGGCCCTGTCTAGCTTTTAGAGTTAATAGCTGATGACTTCCTGCAGTGGGGAAGAATTTACAGTGATGAGAGCCTGGGGAAGCATTAGGTGTCTGTGTTCTGTATGTGTGTGTACACGTGTGTACATGTATGTGAACATGCCTGTGGACCGGGTCAGAACATGTGTCTCTGACTGTATGTATTTGGGAATGTGTTTGCATCTGTCTGGAGATAAGTATATCTATTGTGTGTGCATGTACCTGTGTTAATATGTTTTGTGAGAGAGAGTCTATATATGTTTCTGTGATGCAGGAATCGTGCCAACGAGTGAGGCTGTGACTGTGTGTGGGTGACATGCCAGGCATGAGTTTGTGTGTGAATGAGTAAGGCTGTGATCATGTATGTGTTTGCGTGTGTCTCGTCAGGCCCTCCTCACATCACCCCATAAATCTCAGCCTGGGACACCATCTCTGCCAGCCTGCACCACCTCAGCTAAACCTTGGGGCCGCAGCTTGAGTGCTGTGTGTCGGGGGAATTGGCCTCTGGTGTCAGTGCCTCCGAGCACGAGGAGGGTAGCCATCAAAGGCAACTTGGGGACAGGGTCCTGTGTGGCCCTTCCTCGGGAAGCGTGGCGTGTCTTTCTCTGTGTGTGGCGTGTCCCATATTGTCTAAAGAATTGGCCCCAGAGCTGGCTACACGTTCTAGCATATCTGAGTATGGAGACTTACGAGATGCATTGAGTCCCTCAGAAAGGCGCTGAAGTTTTCAGCTCAGCTCCCATAGAGCACCCTGTGGGACTCTGAAGAAACCTGTCTAGACCCTGTCTAGAAACCTGTCTAGAATGTGTGCAACAAAACGCACACATTCTGGTGACTGTTTCAGGGGAAGGTATGTATGGACCCCACCTCCCAAATGTCTTCAGGTGAAAAACCTGCTGTATTTCTCTCGTTCATTGTTTAACCAAACCTAGATGTAATATATGCAGATGTTTTCCCCTGAAATAACTGTTTTTAAGGAGATGGTTGGTCAGTTGGGAGGGGGCTTCAGGCAGAAGAGTGAGTCAGCAATGCCTCTAGAGAGGGCAGCGCTTCCTGCCCTGGGCAGGGCTTTGCCTGGGGCCAGGTCCCCAGCTCTGCCACCAGCTCCCTCAGTGCTGGACAAGTGCCTTCCCCTCTCGAGGACTTCATTTCGCCATCTGGAGAAGGAAGCATTGGTCCAGATGCCCTAGGTGGGCCTGTCCATGTCATTTTCCCCTGGGTTTCTGTGCAGGCTGTGGGAGTCACGTTGCCCCTGGTGGCCAGCTCTTGGGGCCTGCATTCCTGTCCCTAGTTTGGAACTGGTTCAAGGGCAAGGCCATCTTCTGGTTAGAGTGATCTCTTGGCATCCTGCTTGGTGCCTATATAGGGCAGAGACACATCTTATAAGTTTGGACAAAGGGCCTCAAGTGCCCATGGACCCCAGATCTGCAATCAGAAAGCTGGAGTTACACATTGATGGCTGTTTCTAAATTCTGCATTTCTTGGGGCAAATCATGTTAGCAACCAGAGCTTCCGCGTGCAGGGGCTACTTCGCGCCACATCCTGTGCGCACAGTAATTTTATGAGGTGAATGAGGTTCCCATTTTACAGATAAGGAAACTGAGGCATGGAGAGGTGGAGGGAGTTATTCACGAGCACAGAGCCAAGAAGGGGCAGAGCCAGGGACTTACTCTCCAAGTGCATAGCCAGGCTCTTAGCCCTACACCACAGACATGCCCATCTACTGCACAGCACCACAATCTCAGCGTGTGTGAGTGGGTCAATTCATTGTACAATGAGAAAACTGTGGCCCTGAAAGGAAGTGAAGTTTCACGGGCACAGGACCTGTGAGGGGGAGCAGGTTCAAGTCTTCTATCTGTGAGCTCCTATTCAGCATGGGTGCCTGAAGGGCACGGTGATGAGCCCATGCCCCCCTCCCCTTTCCTTCCTCCACCTTCCCCTTTTGGCAGGTGTCGCCCTCCAGTAGCAGAGAGCCAGTCTTCAGTAGAATGATGGAGGGAAGTTCTATGCTTAGAAACCTGGAGGTCACGTCAGGTCTTCCCTCTCCCTGTATCGCTGCCTGCCACAGTCCCACCCATAGGCTTCTTCTGTCCTTTCTGGAAGCAGTGTCTTAACCACCAGCTTCAGTAGATAAGCCAGGCAGAGCTGCAAGCATTGCAGTAGCCCCTGCAGAGGCTGAAGGTCTGGGAGCTCTGTCCAGTGCTGACAGGGCAGCTAAAATGCCCCAGGGCTGACAAGGCAGTTCAGGAAGGAGCTGTGGGCTCAGCCACAGCAGGGTTCAAATCCCAGTGCATGCACTTACTGAGCTGTGTCTGTGTGCCAGACACGGGGCTGGGCTCTCTGGATACAGCAATTAAAAAGACCCTCCCTTCCTGAGGCTGACATTCCAGTACAGTAGGTCGAGGCTGAGAGACTTTGTGAATGTAATTAAAAGTACAATTACAGGCTGTGTGCAGAGGTCTGAAGGAGAGGCACTTGGTGCCATGAGAACATGTGACAGGGAGAAGTAACCATGTGCAGGGGGCCCAGAAGGCTCCCTACAGGACGTGATGTTTAAGAAGCTATGTGAATGATGAGTAGGCCTTTCAGGTGAAGATGTGGGATGGGAAGAGACAGGGAAATCAGTACAAGCAGAGGAACCCCATATGCAGGATGTGTGGCTGGGGGGAGCAGAGAGCAGGAGAAGGGGAGCGTGCATGATCTTCTGAAAACAAGGGGAAGAGAGGGGAGAACAGGAATATGGAAGGAAAGGCTGAGCTGGGTTGCGTATTAACTAGACAACCTTGGTGCATGTGCATCTGTCTTTACCTCCACAGGTGTCCGAGTTTCAGCTTATTCATAATGGGCGTGAAAATTTCTTACCGGCCAGAATAACACGTGTGAATCACGCACCACGTTAGCCTGAGCTTCCCCACAACAGGCATCATTTTCTTTTCTTTTTCTTTCTTTTTTTTTTTCAGTCTCCCCAGTGCTACCCATCCAGGGAAAGCTGAAGACAGCTTGACCTCAGCGTGGTTTCCGTCAGCAAAATCCAGCCAGCTCTCCTGGCTCCTTCCTGGCTCTCCTTACCCTCCCCTCCTTTTCCCTCTCCACTGCCACCCTTTAATTTTGTTTTGGTTCCCAGAGCCAGCAGGGACTGGCTTCCTGTTGCCATGACAACTGCCATTAAAGGAGCCATCCACGTGACTCAAGTTGATAACGGAAGCAAAGTGACTAACTGCCTTGTTTTCCTGTCTCCAGGCTGGGTCTGGAAGGTCTCTTAATTGGAGGCAAGAAGGCAGGGGCTTATAGGGTAGAAGAGAGACCTGGGGATGGAGGCAAGGAAGGGAGGCAGGTCCTGGAGAAGAAGCTACATTTAGCTCTGCAAACTAGAGCTGGTATAAGAGCCACAGTGGGGAGCCATTTTTATAGCAGCTGAACTGCGTGTGTTTGGGAAGCTGAGCCTCCCTGGGTGAGAGCAGTGGGTTGGGGGAGGAGGGCAGAGCTTGCTAAGAAGGTTGAGGGAACTGAAGTTACTACAGGGACCCTGTGGTAGTTTTGTTATAGGACAGCCCCGATATTGAACGGGTTGCCTGGCTGTGGGTCCTCACCCGCGCACTTAAAAGGGGCTTATTAATACTCCACTACAGACACACACAAAAGGTTAATAAAAGGTTTATTTACAAGGGAAAAGGAAATAAGGAAAATGTACAACTCAGGGAGAAAATAGGGAAATAAAGTCTTTAATGCGTCCTACCCGATCCGCAGACCTGGAAACCCAAAGTCACTCTCAGAGCTGGCCGGACGCTGCGAGCTGGCGGAGAGCCAAAATGGGGGACCCCTCCAAAGCCCACGTGTCTGCCTTTTATATCCACCTGGCTGCTTAACCCCACCCTCAGGTCCCAGCCACCTTCCCTTTGGTGGTGATGGGATTTGGAGTTCCCAGTGTCTTTGGCTTTGGCCTGGGGTGGGGGTGGAGTCCACAAAGCCTGTATGGAATTAGCTTTAGGACATCCTTTTCCCCACTAACAGTTTCACTCTAACCCAGTGGTTCTTAATGAAAGAGAGGGCACAGTCTTGGCCCACACAAATCAAATTTGAATTACAGATGAGCAATCAATAATTTTTAGTAGAAGTATGTATTGCTAAATCTGCAGCCTTACCCCAGGGCCTATGTCTGGAGACATTTTTGGTTGTCACAACTGGCGCTGTTACTGGCATCTAGAGGAAGAAGTCAGGCATGCTGCTCCCTTCCCTGCAGTGCACAGGATGGCCCTCCACAGAGATATCCAGCTCAGAAGGCACTCATGACCTTGGCTGGCAGAGGTAGTGTTAGGGAGCCATGAGCTTCTGCAGAGGCCCTGGATATATACTTGGGGTCAGGTG